GTTATTATTATTATCGTTATTATTATTATCGTTATTATTATTATCGTTATTATTATTATCGTTATTATTATTATCGTTATTATTATTATCGTTATTATTATTATCGTTATTATTATTATCGTTATTATTATTATCGTTATTATTATTATCGTTATTATTATTATCGTTATTATTATTATCGTTATTATTATTATCGTTATTATTATTATCGTTATTATTATTATCGTTATTATTATTATCGTTATTATTATTATCGTTATTATTATTATCGTTATTATTATTATCGTTATTATTATTATCGTTATTATTATTATCGTTATTATTATTATCGTTATTATTATTATCGTTATTATTATTATCGTTATTATTATTATCGTTATTATTATTATCGTTATTATTATTATCGTTATTATTATTATCGTTATTATTATTATCGTTATTATTATTATCGTTATTATTATTATCGTTATTATTATTATCGTTATTATTATTATCGTTATTATTATTATCGTTATTATTATTATCGTTATTATTATCATCGTTATTATTATTATCGTTATTATTATTATCGTTATTATTATTATCGTTATTATTATTATCGTTATTATTATTATCGTTATTATTATTATCGTTATTATTATTATCGTTATTATTATTATCGTTATTATTATTATCGTTATTATTATTATCGTTATTATTATTATCGTTATTATTATTATCGTTATTATTATTATCGTTATTATTATTATCGTTATTATTATTATCGTTATTATTATTATCGTTATTATTATTATCGTTATTATTATTATCGTTATTATTATTATCATTATTATTATTGTTATCATCAGCATTAATTTTCATTGTGATGCAAAATGACTCGAATGCTATAACATCCAAATTTATAAGCCACATTATCATACATTCAATTCTGTGTAGCGTTAATTTTTTGAAATTATTATTGCACTTTAATTTGATCTGTGTCGTCGTGGATGCTGCAGCATTCATTGCATATAACTATTAAAATGTGATATTCTGAGCACTCGGACAAAGTGCGACCAATCGAAATTTGGATATCACAGTTAGTTTTAGAATAAATTACCTGTCTATTAACGCAGCTCATTCAAATTTTTACTATCCGCGAACGTGTTACAAGAAAATTATAAATTATTCTTAGTCCGTCTATATCAGGATTACATAACAAGGAACTAATGCAAAGAAAAAAGCAGTGCTTGCCTTACAGATGCTTTATTTCTAATGTAATACGTTTATTCCCATTGGCGTAAGTACACATTTTCTTAATTGTGAGGAATAAAGACTGTTATTGCTTACTAGCACGTACATTGTTTATTGGTCAAATTAATCGTTAACATAATTTAGAGTTAAGTTAATTTATAGTAACTTTATAATTTAGTTTACTTGTCTTTGTAACATTTCGGCATGTATAGATTACATTTTAAGACATAAGTGAACATTTTCGAAAATGTGACTTACGCCATCATGATTCTAACTCCACGTGTCTCAGGTCTTCGAATTCTGGGAACCACTGTTGGCTATCAAATTGACTCTTGCTAATAAAACATTTCAATTATAATGATCGTAACAACATCTATTAATAAAAACGACAAAATACAGTAAATTCTTCCCAATTGTTCTTCAACTTGTAAACAAAAATGGACAATCTAGGGAGAAGAGATGGCTTTGCGCCTCGTTTTTATAGTTGTTGTCAATCGGCGACTATAAAAACGAGCCGCAAAGCTTGAATAATCGTATCTCCACTTACCAAAGAAAGAAGAAGCACTTCGTTCCTGAGCTGAGAGACAATGTGAGAGAAATTACTCTACTTAGAAAGTCCGAGTCCAGTGTACCATGACTTAATTTCATTCTTGTGAATAAAATCTGAAGTAGTTCATTTCTTTATTTGCACCATTAGGTTTATTAATCTAAGATGGAATGAATGCAATAGTCACACTTTGTCGTACGTTTTTAACGCAAATGTGCATAGCAGAGTTAGAAATAGTTGTTTCTCGAATAAATATTTATCTAAGATAATTAGCCGAATGAATTCCTTTTAATCGAATATTTTATTCGAATAATTCATTATTTGCCATAAATTATTCTATCTATTTATTTGAATAATTCTTCATTCGAATTAAAATTTGGTTGTATCCAAATAAATTTTCATTCGACAAAATGTCGAATAAAATTTTATTCATTAGTCTTTTTATCTCGTATCCGGCATTGGAATAAAACGTTGCCCTACTCTGATACATAGTGTACGCTGCGATAAATGTGAGATAGCAGTTTGTCCAACACATCGTTTCATACTATGTGAAAAATGTGAAGAGACTATTATGTAAACGCGTTTCTCTGTATCCCCAATAAACATTTAGTAAAAGAAATCGTTTCGCATTTAATTACATTGATTTTGTGTGATATTATTATAACATGAGACACGAAGAACACATTAAGTTGGCAGAATGAGGGCGAGATAAGGGTTAAATATAAACAAAGTTTGATTATGTAAAAATGATTTGTACGTGATATAATAGTTTTTAGTGGTGCCTCGGAGTCGCAGTGGTGCCTTCGACCGCGAAAGAGTTAATTTTGGTCGAAAAGAGCCGCTCTCCAGACCATTGTGGCGCGTCGACCGGTTATAGTCGCGCGAAACAGAAACATTAAAATCGGTCGAAAGACCGAGACGGAGCGAGCGTGACGTCAAGCGTACAATTATCGGTATACTTGGCGGTGTCCTTAGGCGGCTCCGGGATCATCCGGTTCTCCTCGTCTCTCCTGCTTCATCCACTTTCGTCCTCTTTCGTCCTTTCTCGCCCTCCTTCGCCCGTTTGTCCCCGCGCGAACACACGGGCTGACCACACCGACCGAACTCTATTAAAATGTCGTTTATCTTCTCGTCAGTACACGCTCCCCTGCCCCCCTCGTGTCATGACAGATAAAAAGGTGTCAGCGGCTGTCCGGGGACGTTTCGCGGCAGCGTGTCTGTCCCGAACTGGAACGTGGAAATATGGATCGAAGGAAGGTGATGTAGCATCATCCACTCCTGGATCCATAGGGTGTCACCCATGAATCTAATATGAATTCACGCGGAAACGTAAAGACCGGTATTGATCTTATAATACTTATTTGATCATTTTTATGTCGATAATAAAAACTCGACAGTTCGAATTTGTTGTACGTTTACCACAAACGTTCGATATTCCCGAAGATAGAATATTTCTACATTTGTACAATTTTTTCGTAATCTTTGTAAAGCAATGAGTTCAGCATATTTTCAGTGTTCTGTATCAAGCAGTGTACATATTGGTTGGATTATTATTTGAATGTGAAAACAAATATCGAAGACGAATGCCATAGAAATGATCAAATAATCGATTAATTATTAAATAGTAATTTTAAATTAATAATAATAATAATAAGATAATAATGATAAAGAAATAATAATAAAATAATGATAATGAAATGATAATAATAAAATAATAATTTAATAATTATTGAATAATTTGAATAATTAAATTACTTTTTAAAAAATTAAATGGAAATAACGACGAGAGAAGCCATAAGATTATTTACATTTAATTCGTCATATTCTGTTATAAAAAGGAGTCCAAGTTACAGTCCGCAGCTACTTGTTCTCTCAAAACCGAGCGATACGATTTCGCAAATAGACGGGATCGCCTCCAACGCGAAAATAGTCAAATTTTAACCGAACAAACATTAAAAAACACATCGTTGTGAATTCCACAGAGAGTGTCACCATGCGGTAACTCGAAAAAAGCAAAGCCCTGTTTCCATCTGGTTTCGCTGTTCGAGCTCCAGAAACAACGAACCTACATAGAAGAGCAAATAAAAATCTCTACTTTTCAAATATTTATTTAACAATTCTTGCTCGGGTAGTTCCGACGAACGGCGGTCGTTTTCGCGTCGTAGATCCTTGGAAAAGGATCGAGAGTAAGGCAAAGTGGGTCGGCCTCTCTAATCATGATTCTGCAGACTGTTTGCGATATTTGTTGATTCTTGTCCCGCGTGCCGCACCGCCACGTGTTCCCTCTAACTGTAAATCGCGGAGACTGTTTCCTTGGACTCCGGGTAATTAACGTGGCTGCACTTTGCCACAGACGAGGCTGATCGTCCTCGATCCGGCCGCGACAGGAATCGCGGCCAACGCGGGTTGAAAGTAAAAGGGCGACGCGCTGTTAATATTAATGGGGTAAAAGCGTGATTGCTGTAGCCGTTCGAAAGCAAAGCTCGTCCGCGGCTTGCGAAAGTAGCGGTTTCCTTCCTCTCTTGCTTTCGCTTTTGAAATATTTTGCAGCATTAGAATCCTGAATGGAGAACCTCGGCCATTTTTATCCGTTGAATTTCAATAGATTCGATACTTCCTCATTTGCAAAATTGCGTTTTTATTGGTTGAAATGAAAATATGTGAGGTAGACGAAATATCTGCTTTTTATACTACTTTTGTGGTCTTGTATTGGTATCAATAATAGTAATAATAATGATAATTTGTTCATGTACACGAATAAAAAAAACTGTTACAGAAGAAAATATAAAAAATAAATGAGGTCTTATATGTAACCGACGCACGAATAGGTAAAATAAAAATAAGGAAAGTATATATACATACATATGTATGCAATAAAATAAAATAAAAAAAAAAGTAAAAAAGAAAAAGTGAAAAATAGTGCAATAGGATATGTAATAAATACATAATAGATATAGTAAATTGTATTGTGCAGGAAAATAATATTATTATTAAATGAGATTGTTGTGCCGTGGCTAAAAAAGAAGAATACAAGAGGTCACATTTATTCCGTGTTAAAAGCCGAATATTCCCGTGACCGATTGTACATGTATTTCCCAATTTTATCCACGTGGCTGTCAACTATGTCGTTAATCTCGTTAAGTTTATATTAATTTTGAATACTTTTTTTCTGGACAACGCGATCGAACATTTCTAACGGAACAACGATTTCTTGTTTCAGGGTTGAGTCTGGACAACAGCAACATGTCCATGTCGTCGGTGGGCCCGCAGAGTCCTCTCGACATGAAGCCGGACACAGCTAGCCTGACCAACGCAGGCAATTTCAGTCCTTCCGGGCCCAATAGCCCAGGGTAAGTAGCATTAACGTGATCGAAATATTTCGTGACAGACGGTCGATCGATTAAACGATACGCTAGCTGTAGAATTGAATCTGCATTAATTGTACCATTGATCTACTGACACGCACGATTAAATCAGTCCGACAGATATCGAGAAATGGTATCCTGACGACAGACGCCGTGAATCACGGGTATGCCACGAGCGTTTAGTCGCCTTAGCAGGAAACGAGCAAAATACTCTCTCTTTTTGTTCCTTTCGAATTTTTCGCTTTTGTTCGACCCTTTATAGGGAACCATTTCTACAGCCCTCGAGACTCGGTTTTCTCATTCGGAGGGGTCGAGAAATTGCTTTTCCATTGTATTCTTTAACGCTGGAACCACCAAACGCGGCTAATGTACATTGTTTTATAACAATGACAAGATTCGATTTATTTAAACTACGTTCAGAACGACTTCTATTATAATTTTCTATGCTTACCGACTACAGTTAAGAAACTTTACATATCGTTAATATTTGAGTATATATATATAAATTTTGTTATTCTAATAAATATATGTCTTACTGAATTAAAAGTGAAGCATGTCACACATTGTTTATATTGGAATACTGCTTTATTCAGTGCATAAGACAAATAAAAACAGTAATAAAACGAAATCAAAAAATAAGATAAAAATAAGAAATTATGAAACTGTAAGAAGAAGATAAGAATATAAGATAAGAATAATATTTTCGTTGATCCGATACAAATTGTTATTCTACGTTGTCTGATTCTATGTTATTTTTGTAATATGTTTCTTAACTTTCGTCGGTAAGCGTATGCTCGAATAAAAAAATTTATCTAAAAATTGATCACAGAAACATTCTTATAACACCAGCGATTAAAAAAATCAGAAACCAGGCATTTTGACTGGTTTTATAGTTGTAATGCTAAAACTATAATAATCTTAAAAATGTTTTCCTTAAAAATGTTATGCTTGAATTCGAATTGAAATGACGAAGTTACGACGATCCAACTTTGAGCGGATTTTTCTGAAGATAGAGCTTTTCAAATTGGCTGCCACGATTTCTTAATAACGAATCGATGAATCTTCTTCAAATTTTACGCACATACGAAGTGGACGTTCCTTTAGCTTGTGAACTAGAATTATGTCAATATCGACAAAACTTTGTTTATTACCGATAGAAGTTATTTTAGCAAACTTCGTCAGTTCGTTATGAACACTTTTTCTTTCGTTTCATTCTAGTTCACAAGGCAACCACATTCATATAGATTAAAATCACCTTCGATTTTCTTTTCCAGATGTATACGACAACCTAAATCGTGGCAGCCATTAAAAGTGATATACTGTAGATAACGTACATACAATGATTTGTATAATAATAAGAATAATTGCTGACGAAATTCCATTGTGTTATCTTGAAAATATCGACGACTCCGAATGAGACTATCCCTTCGAAGGTTATCGCAGATTTTATTTAAATATTTGAAAAGTGATAACTGCTTCACTTTCTCCACATTTATATCGATTATCGATTACGTTATCATCGTCAGAGTATTTACCACATGCAATTGATAATAATATCACGATATTAGGACGTGATAAAGTTTTATTCATATTTGATGTTAGCTTTTACGGTTGAATTAGAATTGAACAAGGGACCTTACGAAATTATTGATTTTTTTAACGATGACACAATTATTGCTTGCTTTAAATTCAAAATATTTCAAAAACTTTCTGGGGTTATTTTACTGCTACATAAGTACTCTAATTTTCATACACACTGTATCAGAAGTGATACACACTTTTAGAAGAACCAGTAGTAAAAATAACACTAGTTCTATCAGGTTCCCAAACGTAACTCATACACAGGGTGTCCCAAAATTATTGTACAAGCGGGAAATGAGGAGTTCCTAAGGTCATTCGAAGTAACTTTTTCCTTAGCGAAAATGCAATCCGCGGCTTTGTTTACGAGTTATTAAAGAAAAACACTAACCAATCAGAGGCGAGTTCAGCCGGCGCAAGACGATGGACAAGTGAGCAGCATCGGCTCCTACCATGGGGCGCGTGACCGTTGACCAATGAGAGGCAAGACCAACCGGCGCAAGGCAGCCGAGCCAATGAACGGAACTGGGCTTTGTGCACTCGTTGGCTCGGTCGCCTAACGCCAGTCAAGCTTATCTCTCATTGGTCACTGTTTTTCGTTAATAACTCGTAAACGAAGCCGCGGGTTGCATTTTCGCTAAGGAAAAAGTTACTTCGAATGACCTCAGGAACCCCTCATTTCTCACTTGAACAATAATTTTGGGACACCCTGTACATTATTTTATAATAATAACAAGATTGGATTTCCGTAAACTTCGTACGATTTCTACCACAATATGAACAAAGAAGTTTATCGGGAAACTTTTTGCAGAAAACATTTTTATAATTCCAGTAACCAAAAATTCAAAAACTGTCATTGTTACCCGTCTGGTAATTCCTTTGTTAAGATGTCACTTTTACAATGCTAGAATAACTGGACTGCAGATGATTATACCAGAGTTAGGCATTATTAGAATTGTTTCGTATAAGTATTTATCCAAAATAATTATTTGAATGAATTCTTTTTAATCAAATATTTCCTTCGAATAACAATTATTCGTTATTATTCGTAACACATTATTGTATCTATTTATTCGAATAGTTCTTCATTTTTTATTCGAATTAATTATTCGAATAGAGATTGTAAATTTATTCGAATAATGCCAGTAATTGTCGACAGGTTGATTTTACATGATGTTTTAAGCATACATACACATATACATGTTGTAAATATGAATTGAATCCTTTGCAACCGAAGAAAAATTATTTACATACCTATGTACTACCTGAAAGTAATAAACTTTCATGATGCAGCAGTTGGAAAAAAAGGTAATTGTAAAAATTAACACGGAAGAAGTGAATCAATAAACTATTAAAAAAACACTATATCCTATAATTTGTATTCAAATCGATTATTTCCCAAACGAATAAATAAATTCTTATTCGAATAAAAAATAACATTATTCAAACGAATTTTTATTCGAATAAAATCTTGTTCGGATAAATTGTTATCTGGAGAAATTTGTATTCCATTGGATAATTATTTGATAATATCGAATAAGATTTTAGTCGTTCATCCTTATCTCTAATTCGAAATCCGAATAAAATTTTGCCCAGCTCTGGTTTATGCATCCAATAGCGGTTTTTTAGCATTGCTTTTCTTTTATATAAATATCAACAGTTTACTAACGACTGTATTACGCTTCTCGTATTCTTGACGTGTACCAGTGAGCTATAAGGGGTTAAAAAGAGAAAAATGTTAGTATAGTTTTACGTATCAGTTTCTGATGTTGCGACCCTCATAATTCCGGGGAACGTACACGAGATATATCCAGTGCGCGCAGCGTATTTTGCTCAACCCCGGGGGCAGTAGCGTCGTAGGTCGAGTTGTTGTTATTCTCTTCTTTGCATGTAAGATCCTTCAACGCTGGTTGTCACAGCAACCTTCTGAGCACGTCGCCGAGTGGTCAGAACAAGGCAGTCGCACCCTATCCGCCGAACCACCCTCTCTCCGGCAGCAAGCACCTGTGCTCGATTTGCGGTGATCGCGCCAGCGGGAAGCACTATGGCGTCTACAGGTGAGTCCCATTCACTATCGAAATTTTCTTTCTTATTTTTATTGACACGTTAGCGATAGTTTATTTTCCAAGGGAAACCGATGGCGACACATAGCCTGATTCTACAGGTTCTGTGCTCGAAATTCGACCTTTTGCAAATTACATTTATTATCTACCCTTTTGCAGATCAAATTTATTTATTTATTTATTTAGTACTTAACGGGCATTGTCCTTTATATGTACAAAATCATGAACATACAAAAGTATATACAGGAAATGAACCAGAATAATATTGTATAAGACAAATTAACCCTTTTGCAAACTAAATTCACCTTTTTGCAAATCAAAATCACCCCTTTTGCGAATCAAGTTCTTCCACTTTGGTTATTTAACCCTTTATAGCCGCGCCAAGAATCTCAAATATTTCATAAAATCAAAGAATATCATTCAATTTAATTAAAATTACAAAGCAAAATTTTATATAACATAATTACCTTTTGAATATTCTTAGCACTTGCGAATCTGAATAAAATTATGAAGCAGTAGTGGATCAGCATAGAAAGGAATGATTAAAAACTAAATATGAAATAATTCTGTCACCAACATATGGGTAACACGGTAGCTAAAGTGCTAATGATGTAATTATGATACAATTGTTAATAATTGTTAATAATATAAATAGGCTTTATTTTGTCAATAATATAATTGTTACATATTTTTTAGAAAGCTGCGCATATCGATTTTCATAATTGAAATTTTCATGAAGTCATATGCACGTGTCAATAGTGTTAAACTGTTGTAATAAAAATAAAATCTAAAACTTTTAATTTTATTGTATGCATGTAAACAACGAGCTTAAAACAGTTATTTAATCATAAACGCGCATTCTTCGGTGCAGGCAGTAGTTGCAGCAGAATGATTAATAACATTCACGACAAAAATATTGTTTTCATAGAATTTAATCGAGCCTCTGATCAACAAGTTCACGCAGCTCTTGGATCTTAGGAGGCTTAGATTGATGAAAACACAGTATGTATACAGTAATTTCTCCCTAATTCGTGCTCAGATTGCGCACAAGAATGGGCAATTTGGGAACAGGAGATACGATTACTCGAACCTTGCGGCTCATTTTTATAGTTGTTAACTAATTATAGTTGGTTGTTAATTAGTTAACAACCCACTAATAAAAATCGAATAATAAAATAAATAAATAATAATCGTATCTCCTCTTCCCAAATTGTTCATTTTTGTGCACAGTCTCAGCGCGAATTAGGGAGAAATTATTGTACTTGTTTCCGTTGTCTTCGATTGTCTGATCGAGACATCCATGAAATGAATTTGATTTGCAAAAGTATGTATTTAATTCGAAAAAAAGGTGAATATAATCTGTAAAAGAATGGATACAATTTGAAACAAGGTAGGCGCGATCTGCAAAAGAATGAATTTGGAAGCGCAAAACTTAATCTTACGTTCGAATCAATAAGCATCAATAATAATCAATAAATGCGAAATAAAAATTTCTCGAGACGATTGTAAATAACAGAAATTAAATAAAAATAGTTTCTTTCGATAATATAGTCACGTTGAAAACAGTGTAATAATGTTGTGAATCTGATCTCATGTTTTAACGATTTTGTATGTCAGCTACTCATTTTTCCCATAAATGCATAAAATCCGCAGTCCAATTATGCATAACTGGTTTTTTCACCACTCCAATGAAATTTGTGATAACAAGATTTAGATGTACCATTTACGAAATATAAAAATTGTAAATTAATATTATTATGCAGAAATTAAATGAAATGCAGTTTATGGTATTCAAGTTATTGTAGTCGAAATGTTGGACGATAAAATCTTTACACTTTTTAAAAAGTTGGAGTCGATTTTCGAATGGAATGATATATCTATCTCGAAAAAAAAGCAACGATCACGGCGACTTCCGATATAGTAATCCTCATTTACAAGTGTGCAAACTGCTACGGTAACGTTGTGTACATAATTTGATGTTTTAAAAGGAAGAAAATAGTTGCACAAGTTATTGAACTCCGGATCGTGAAAGTAATTTTCACTGGTCTGAGCTCGCATAAAACTTGTATATTATAGAATCGATCGGTTCAAGGTTCCCGGATTAGCACGATAATCCCAGCCACCGACACCGACCAGTCTGATTCCTGTCTTAATATACATATGTACTACCTAGAACGATAAGAACCCGCATTGCAACGATAAAAGCCTGTTTTTTTCTTTTCCCATTATCGAGACTTTCGACCCCGTCGTGCATTTCGTATCGTGATTGAAAACGTTGCGGCTGCAAATTGTTTCTATCTCTCCAGGAAAAGGAAATAGAGTTGCCAAAATTATCGAAGAGCATAAGGAAAGGAAAGCAGTTATTGAAGAAAGCAAACAGGAAAAATTATCGAAATTCACGCGGGTGAATACGAGCAACAAATATCTTCTTCAATTAACGGATTATCAATTGGTCCGTTTCAAATATCATTTAAACAGTAATTAATAATTAGTTCGAGTGATATTTCATTTTATTCGAATTTGTACATTTTAATCCCAGGAACGTTTCAATATTAATCACCGTTGATATTGCTGAAAATAAATACAGAATAATATGTTACTTGATATATTACAAATAAATATGTTCCACTTGCTGATAAATCATCCAAAACAAAATTCCGAGTGCAAAGCGTTAAATGAGAACATCCTTCCTGCATTAATAACTTCAGTGACTCTTCTATTGTGTTTATCCGATTGCTAAATTTTTGTTATTTTCGAAAAAGCGGATCTGGAACGAGAAAGTAATTGGAATAATTCTCAATGCATTAAAATGTATAGAATGATCATCGTCATTAACGCTAGATTTACGGAACCCGTCGAGATGACGGATCACTAATTTTTTAATTAACGATTATTCATATCGTAAAGATACATTTAGGAGTTATTTATTCAATTTATATGTTACTTACGGCAAATGTTACAATAACACTTGATAAAAATCAGGATAAATGTCTTATTGTTACTTTTATAAATTGATGTAAATCAGCTATTTTTTGTGCTCCGTAAATCTAGTGTTAGATATACAATAAAAATAAATTTATTGAAATAGTAATATTAAAAAATAAAAATGTTAAAATCTTGCGTCTTTCGAAAGGTCCTCGGCATCCTTTGCAGGATCATATTGACTCGAATACTTATGGAGCAATTAATTAAGGAAGAAAATATATGAAGCTAATTAAATCATTGATTAAGCTAATTAAGAAACATAAAGTAGTCTCTACGATGATTTTTACTTGATTATCTTCCATACGATTTCGCATCTGATCGTCAGGACGAATCTAACGAAGACTTAGCTGTCGTAGAACCGTTTATTTTAATAACCAGATCACTGGAAGTGCAACGATGCTGCGTTTGCATAATCGCTGAGCGACGAACTTGCGCGCGATAATAAAAATGTCGACGAACCAACGGTCGAGGCTGAGGAATCAGCGTGACTCGGTGCTACAATCATGAATTCAGTGGCTGTTCGCCATTTCGTCACGAACCACGGAATCCATCTTCCCTTTGTCATTGAACCGGAGCAGCTGTGGCCAATTAAATCTCATCGAAGCATTCGAAAAGGGTGTATCGATCGCCGATTGTTACAGACACGCAACGACCGTGCACCCAGTCGACCGAAATTGTGTGCATTCGGAAACAGGTGTCGGGTTTCCTGTTACACGAATCATTTTTAGTCCAAATTTCAAAATCAATTTCCAAATTAGTGTGACACTGCTTCTTCATTTGATCTCTTTCGCTGTAGAAAACATTAGAGAGTTTTCTGTTAGAAAGCATAATTCTTTTATTGCATTTTCTTAGCAGCGATTTATTTAAATTAAGAATATGATATTAATTACTAGACCGTGAATCTTTATGCAAATACTCGTTTTCATACGTCATTTTACGAAAATTAGAATTACAGAGAAATTGTCTTCGTAGATTAAAAGATTACTGATTGTAAGCAGAAAATAAAAATTATAATAATAATAAAATACAATATATTATTATATACAATATAATTATATATAATATATTATTATGAAAATAATATAATAACTTTTATAATAATTATATACTATATTTTTTATTATATATATTAAACAATATAATAGAATATATTATATATATTATATGTATATATAATTATATTATATATAATAATATATTATATTATTATTATATAATTTTTATTTATAAACGTTAAACGTTTCGTTACATGTTAAAAAGTTTGCGCATGCCATAATTCCGTCATCCAATTGTCGGTGACATCAGCAATCAAAAGGATTTATTTTAGTACATGACAACGACGAAGTTATGACTGTTTAAAATGAACCCACATACATATTTTCCATACAACGGATAGAAACAATTTTAAATACGTTTTTCTTAAAACCTTATTTTCTGATATGGTTGATCTCAACATTTATAGGCGTCTGATGGATTTCATTTGTTTTCCAATTTAATATGCTTTATATCGGAATCTTTCATATCCATAATTTATTATCGCAAACATTTTGATTCAATTTTACTATTATATATTTGTAATCTGTTACTTTTCAATTTCTACTAATTGGTTCATGAAGATTTATCCTCGCGTAATATCGCGATGTATCAGTGATGAAATTTAATCTGGTAGCATAAAGAATATTTAATATTCATGTTATGTTTCAGTCCTTTTACAGGATATAGTTATATAAGTATAAGATTGTTCTTCAAATGAAAATACAGAGTTCGAAGGTAGAATAACATACCTTCGTTCTATAATGGGTATAATTATTAGACAGGGAATTTTGTTCATTCAGCGAAGAATGATTACTAGTTTTGCTATGATCTCACTAAAACATTCATAATAATCAAAACGTATTAACAATTACCTTTTTACTTAAGCTACTGAACGCACGAGATTATAAATGCTGTGACTTGGATTTCGAAAGAACAGACTCGAATTACAAAAGTTGCTCTCTTCGACACAAAAA